GCCGCCACCCCTTGCTGGCGATCATCTAGGGCGGGGAAGTCCTTGCATTCGAGGTCGCGGTTCTGTCTTGATGAAATGCAGCTGCCGTGACTGGCGCCGTTGCACCAGACGGAAGCCACGAGCGCCATCTGCTGCGCGGACAGACCTCGAACCAGGTTTCCAAATACTCCACGCACGCTGTACCTCAACATTCGCGTCTTCAACAACCGAGATTACCAATCGAGCAGTCTACACGACAACCGCATGCTAGTGTTTGCCCGGCGCTCCATATTCAAAGTTACGTTGAGGCTCTTTGGATTTGGAAGATGACGAGACCTCGTCCGCGGCCTCCGAGACCGGTATCAATGCTTCCAATAATTGCAACACTCGACATCCTGTACCCGTTAATCATGGTGGCCTACTACGTCGCCTAGCTATCATCATGCTCACCGCTAAATCGGCAATTGACGTGCAACCGGTCTGATTTGGTCTGAACAACCTCATCGGAAGAAAGAGATTGGAGCCCAGTAGCATGACGATAACTAAACGAGTGGGCGGGTGGCATTCGTAGCACCTGTACCAGGCTCGCCTCTCGCTATAGATACAGATCCGTGTCCGGAATCACGGAACTTCCATGCCCATACCAACGAATACTGTACCTGCAATGAATATTTTGACTGTCCGTAGCGGACGGTAAGTCATGCAAAAGACTTGATTCAGAAAGAGGGGTCTGCACAAAACAGTTCCACAACACATGGTGGCGTGCATGCGTCTCATGCCCCACTCTTCTTTCCGGTATACCAGCATCTTGCCCAGTGAACTGATGTTTCAACTTCAACAATCACTGCAGGTTTATTTACCCGGTATCTGGGTTTCCTTCAACAGCAGTGCGCACTTGTACTTGCAAGCCGAAGTGCCTTCAGGCAAAATGAGCAACATATGCACTGCTGGCAGTCATCGACTAAGATCGTGCTTGTTGAACCCACGCGCGTCCGGCTTCAGATGTGGAAAGATCTATCAATCCAATTGTCACTCTTTTAGCGTTGTTATGTTGTATGGTGAATTTTTGTTCCAGGGAATGACGTTGCCATAGGTTGTGTAAGGGGTCCAAGGATAATACTTCCCCATTCTCCATAGCTTTAGATCGTTGCAGTATCCTAGATTTGCCCTAACAAGATGAAACGATAGGCAGCAGACACTTCAAGTCAAAGCTGTCAGCTATGCGGAAGCTGGACGCCTTGAAGCCAGAAACGGTCGATCCGGAGAGTGTCAGACGCTCTTCTAGATGGCGCACTTGTCTCTCAATAGCATAGTGAAGGCTATCACGATGCAAGTGCGTTGTTTTACCTGGCACCATCTCGCCGTGTACTGGTTTACTACACGCTGCTATGGCTGTCATAATCTCAATACACTTTGGGGAATTCAGCGAATCGGTATCGCTCCGCTGATGCTTAGCGTGCGTCGCCTTTATCTGTCCGAGGCTCAATGGCAAGATGCTAACCAGAACAGCTACAGTTTGGGGGCGTCATCAAGATCCCACATTCCTGGCCCACTAGCTGAAGATCCTATCGGAGACCCACGGACCTGGATCAGAGATCTCTTTGTAGATCGAAGCCCTACAATCTCGCTCCAACGTGCACTAGATACATCGCTAGGACTAACATCATCTTCCGCACGCGACAAGCGAATCCAGCCCTCAGCGGAATCGTCGCCGTGTATTGTAAGGGTCATGGTTGAACATTTCCAAAGGCACCACCGTTGCTTGCATGGGAGGTTATTGTTTATGACAGCTTAGTGTGTCGCACGTGTTTCGCATTCGCGTTGATATGCAGATTCGCGACCATGGTAATCTAGGTAGAGTCAGCTGTAAATTTGTCACTTCCCCATGTTGAGCGGACAATTTCCCACTGTCTCTTACGCGCTAAGTGCACGTTCGCTTTCAGTCGAATGAGGTCTCTGTTGTGACCTCGGCAGCTGGCGGTTGCCAATTAGGACTGGTTCCTGCTCGTGACTAAGCTGCGCGAGCCGCAGATCGTCGGCTCAGCCACCTTCGACCCTTCTTTCCCAGCTGAGATCGGCTTCACCTGCCCTCCGCACACATCTGCTGCCACTCGCGCCGTAAAATCAATATTTCGGACGGCCAGGGTAGGCGATGCGGCCGTTACGACTTGCCCTGACTGCAGAACAGCATGACGCAGTCGTGCAGCATTCTCAGAAACCGACGAATTCGCTCTCACTCCAACATCACTATCCAATATCACCATGCAACAGTCAACATCACGAAGTGACATCTTGACAGCTCCCGTCTGGATGGATCATCTACTTCCCGTCAACTAATGCTGCCAAGCGCAACCGGCTCGGAGAACATCGCTGGTGGCCATATACGCGGATCAGCATGCGAAAGAGAATCCGGGACAATCAAGATCTCTTGGCACGGGAACAAGAGTCTAACGCCGATCCGGCCTTCGGTTGTCATCAGCCGCAGTCGGTGCTGATCCTGATCGTCTGTTTCCTGGGAGAGCGCCCCACAGAAGTCGTTGACAACTCGGTAGACCGTAGACACAGCCACAATCCCGCCAGGCATCCCTTCTGCAGTTGCATCGCGTACCCGAAGATCAAGCACCGAGCAAATTTTCGCTACGAGCATTGCAGACCTGTTTTACGCGACAAAACTACACCCTGTTGGCGCAAACTAACGACGATGGCCTACTGCATTTGGACCTGCGTGACAGCGCACCTGCATCCATCGTCTGGGACTTTGTCCCCACCGTCACCGGCCGGTGAGCTCTACGCTTGTCATCCTCTAACCACAAGCTCCAGGGGTGACGAGATATCACTACTATATCTTGTTGGTGCATGATGGCTGCAATTTGAGTGCAAGTCGTGTGCATGGTACCGTCGTCTCTCTATTCCAGACCTGGCCAGCCTCGAAGCACTGGCTCGGCATGTAAGGATGGTCGGTGCCGTCTCCGTTTCGCAACCAAATTACCTGCAGTGCCTCCAACGCTAACACGTGGCTCCTTCGGAACACCTTCGCGGAATGATGTGATAGCGGGAAATGGTGTATCCAGCACAGGGTTCCGACAGGCTCCGTTTCGGGGCATTTTCTCACACCTTGGTACGTCAGATGTGTCGAAACGGATCACTAGGTGCTCTAACGCCAACCTTAATTCCAGTCAGGCCTGGCAGGACCTACCTCTCCTGGTCACAAGGTAGACCCCCGCTACACTTCAAACATTTCGAACAACGACAATCGTTGTAGATGAAGAACCTTACTATCGGCTCTCCTTTACTATGCAGGTGTCGACATCGTATCCTAGATGTCTAAGGAGGGAGAGCGTCTGCAACCACAAATGACGAACAACACCCACGGTCTTGTGAGAAATGACGTCAGACATCCATACGAGTATACGACATCGAAACCATGCTCTTCATCTAGCGAGATCTCAGCGCAACGTCCCCCGCCGTCACTGTCAACGGGTCTCGGAAACCTCGCCTATCGCGGTACATCAGAACTGAAAATTCGCAATGTAACTGTGTATCCTGTTGCACGCCGCAAAAGCGTAAACACCGGGCTGAGCAGAAACGCTCATTGCTCCGGCGCACCTCATTCGTGCGCCTCGCTCGAAAAGAACCCACCACCAATCCACATCGCCACCCCCGGCCGACAGCGTACTGACAGCATGCAATGGCGGAGTTGCGCGATACATCACAAGGTTTTAGGCGTGACATCTGTCGCTCTTTTTTGCTTCTCCCGTACCGTTGGTTGTGCAGTGCAGATCAAGAGTTGCTTCTCTGTCTTTCTGGGCACGCGAGTCCGGCCAAGCCCTGCGGAGATGTCTCCGCACAACGCCTCGGTACAAAGAAAGGGAGAGCTGTTAGGTAAAGGCGTTCAGCTGCGTATAGGTGCTGTACTCCTAATTAAGGCGTATGCGTTCAGGCGAGCATCGCCGGTTGAGGGTGTGGTGCTCTACTTTCAAGTCCAGAGCCACCTTTCTTGCTTCCTTTTTCGATCTCTAGGTGGTGATCTCTTCGACTGCATCTCCGGCATCGTTTGAAGAGGGGGCTGTGTGCATGATCCAAACTCCACGAGTTTGGAATGCCACTATTCGCAACTATGCATGACAGCATTAGAACAACACTTGACGTCGTTTGATGAGTAAACGCTTCAGGCGGGTACAGTGCCCGCACGTGGTCGACCGACACCACGGGGTAGTGCGACTTACATATTAGCGTGATTGATTTGTTTCAGAAATGTGATATCGATTCTTTATTAAGTGTACATCCGGAGCGGAAAGTTATTACTTCACCCCGGGCCTTTTCTCGCGGCCCAAGTCTCGATGCACTAGTTTAGCCGTAGCTCTAGGTGGCGTCAAGTTCGTCTTCTAATCATTTATGAAGAGACTCTGAATTCAGGAACCAATACTGGTTGTAAAGGCGATCGTGAGGATAACTCCAGCTACAAGCCGAGGCTTGTATTGTGTGACTTGTGCGTATCTTCTACACTGTTGATCTTGAAAGAGAGCAAGCTAGCCTCCGCAATAGCATCGCTTGGCCTGGGTGCAGCTTCTCAGCCTTGGATCGATGCTTGATTATGAATGTATGTGTAATGATGATATGAGAATGGCTTCAGATCTTGACAGATCGTTTCTCAAATACTAATGAAGTCCGTTGTTGACATGCGTCAGACATGGAGCAGCACATGTCAATGCATGCTAGTCCCATCGTTGGAACACCTATGTACACATTATTGCTGGATGTATTGTGCCGGATACATCTGCCCAGGCATGCAGTATACGCATCCGTGTATCAGCCTAAACAGAACACAAGAGAGCATAACGCGATACTTTGACATACGAGAAAGGACCGAAGAGTCGACGTTGACTTTAACCGTTATCTGTACAGTATCAATATATCCTTGTATCCTCCAGTCTTTCCTATCAAGAAGCCCACGTGCCCAGCGCCATCTCCGTAGCCCCTAATCCTCGAACCCATCTTCGTTCTCGAAGCCTTTGTACTCATCAATCTGTGCGTTCAGAGATGGCTCGGAGGAGTTTGATCCACTGTCGGACGTCAGGAAAGTTGTGCGGACCCATGGGAGACTCGGTCAGTACAACACCTTCGCAAAGCCAATTACCCCTCGAAATACCCTTGGCTGGCTTCGTATTTGCAAACAGATTTGCGACTTTGTCTAATGCAACCTCGCCCTCAGCTCGCGAGCCTAACCAAGGTCGAAGCCGAAGACACATCAGACTAGTCGCTACTGGTAAGTAAAGACGGCCGTAAAGGTTTGCGATTGATCTAATCTGCTTCATCTCGTCAGATTTCTCAATGTTGTCCGTTGGAAGCGGAATCGGGGGCCCGTTGAACATCTGGTCTCGTAAGCTCATGCCCCAGTCAGCCAGATCGGTCTCCGATAGCTCGGGAAATATCTGTGCCAGACCAGCTGACATTAACGTCTTGTACGATACGGCCTTGTATCCAATGCCTCTGATTGGTCCATGAGCCAAGTACTCATGAAGTCCGTCGGGCTTGAACAGGTGCGGAACATGCCAGACCAAGACGTCTCCATCCAGCTGGTGTGTGTCCATGATTGCGACGTGGGGACCGTATTCTTCTTCTATGGATCCAGCATAGCAGAGAGCTAGGTGAAGTGACGCGGTCCATGAGCTGAATTCGGAGGTGAAAACGGATTCGGTGTCGTAATGGTCTCGCACCATTTTGAAAAGCTCACTTTCAGGCTTGTCGTAGAATCCGCTTCCAGAGGCTTTCTTCATGAAGCCGTGCGGAATGATCTCCTTGACACTGTTAGTTGCGTGTTCTGATCCTCCACTGCTGTTGCTGCTCCAAGTACGAAATAAGAATTGAGGGATATGGTTCTTGCGGAAATCTGTGAGAGTTAGCCAAGAGCGTGATGTGAGAGCAGGGTGGAGTACCTTCGAAATATGCCTTGCGGTCACCCGTAATTGGCTCCATGTTGCTTGCGTCCAGCATGATCGCCTAGGTATAGTCAGTGTCGATGTCGTGGTTAAGGCAGAAAGCTCTTTGAGGATGGGTATTGGATGATAGAAGAAGATTGAGGAATTGTTGGATACGTATATAAGTGTGGTAGCAGTTTTTCTAGATAACTATGATTTTGATCGCTCTTATTGTCCTTGCGACACAATAGCAAAAGACGGGAGGTTTCGATTTTCAAGTAAGTGAGGTGAAGGCGACAGTCCGTCCTCCAGTCACCGAGAGTTCTCCGCCTGAGTGCTAGGCAACGACTCTCTTTGAGACAGCAACTTCGATGCAGATTTCGGAGGCATCAAACGATGTTAGGGCTTGTTGTCCTATTCGGAGTTTTGAGAAGTTTAGCTCACGCTGAATACATCATAATTCGATGTCTACAGTGCCATCTCATGTATTGGAAACAAGGCCTCCAATGGACGCAAGCAACGCTACCTATGTTCTAGACATATACCTCCCAGTCTCCAACTACGCAAGTAATATATCCAGGAAATCGTCTCACTCTTTGCAGCAAGCTTCAAGACAGACTAAACGTACATTCTCGAAGTGCACGGATATGCCTGCCTCCAGCAGCCGACCAAAAATCTCCACTCCAGCCTCTTTGTAGTCCTTTACTCGCTGCTTCGGGTCGTTGTCGAAGTCGAGAGATATTCTTTTCAAGCTGCGCAGCTTGCTGCGGTCATCCAGAACTCCGGAGATCCACTCTATCACAGCGGTAGTCGGATCAGCTACATTAAGGTAGTCTACATTCGGCGGCAGCGCCTCGAACGGATGGAGAGGGGAACATCCGTAGGGGGTTGAGTTGATGAGAACACTTTGCGGAATGGATAGGCGCTTTATTAAAGTGAAACGTTGCAACGATCGTGATGGTCGGAGGTAGTCGATCTGTTTAGAATCTCCGGTGTCAGAGCACTTTAGCTCCAGCTCTTCCAGAAGATGTGAGGCAGGGATCAGCGGATCGATAATGATGGAAGACGTAAATCCTTGCTTAGGGTAGCATATGCGTTCTTCTGTCGGGATGCCGGGATCATAAGAGCTATAATAAGCCCGAATACCATCATACATGTTGCCATCTTTTTTTCTCCAATTGGTAAAACACAAGCGCAAAGACCTCAGGGCGGGGACCCGTTGGAAGAAAGGCGATAGGTCTTGTGTATCCGCTGGCTGATATTCGTAAAGTGTTGGGCGCCGTAGTGTCAAGGTAGTGATACCATGAAATAGGATGACTGGTTCTTTGTCCCATGCTACGAGCTCTGTACAATCAAGCTCCAGGTGTAGCAGCTTTGGAAAGGTAGACCAAGACCTGTTCATTTCACCCCAAGCGCCAGATAGCCTTCGGAGCTGTGGAAGAAGCAGAAGATCAGGAGCAGTAACATCATGCGCTTCGGCTATGCCAGGGAACGTCAGACTCAGGCTTGGTGGCGTCATGAAATCCTCGTTATCTCCAGAGCAGAACGTGAGAGTCTGCAGCTGATCTGTCAACACCAGCAGTAGGCCAATGCAAGCATAAAGATTGCCATATTTGACGAAGCTAACCCACTTCATCTGATCGATGGGCCAAGATTGTGTCGACTTTATTGCGTGTGTGACGACCTGGTCCCAGCACTCCTCATAGATTATAGCTAATCTGTAAATTGGCTGAACACCACAATATCCCGTTATTTGCAAAGAGCGGACCTTCTTAGCGAGATCTGGCCGTTGTACTAGGGTTCTGAGGAGTTCCAGAAGAGACTGGGAATACTTCCTCAGACTGATGGAAGTGTGGAGAGCTTCTTGCGCGATGTCGCGGAACTCGCGTGCAGTTAGGGCTAGGTCTTTAAGATCGGGTGGCTGAAGGCGCAGCGCGATATCAAGCAGGAGCTCGTCCGGTAGGTTCTCAAGCTCGGCCATGATCGCACTCTGAGATGGAGGTATCGACTAGAACTGGGTGTATGGTCGTGGCAAGTTGGAGATAAAATGAGGATGTCAGCTTGATAGCATTGAAAGCTAAATGTTGGGTAGGCGGGAAAGTAGATTTCTAACATTAGCTTCGTTAAATAATCGTGTGGAAGTCAGACTTTGGTTCTACCCAGCCAATACCACGGTACTCTGATGAGTTACGCAATGGCCCGTAGACGAGGAGCCAGTCATCATTTCCGCAACGCCAACAACACCCACGAAGGAACGGCGTAGGATCCGAAGATGATTCAAAAAGTCGCATTCTGCTGCGATGGTAGATTGTGACGTTTTACATTTTTCCTGGTTTAGCACGCCGGCCGCCTATCTCAATTTAAGCATCAGTACCCTGGAACATGTTGCCCACGCTCGTCTCAGACTTAACAGCATCCTCATGATAATGCGAACCCGCCGAGGTAACCGTAGTGTCCAACTCCTCAAGACGCCTCAAATCCATAGGCGCAGCCAAAAGCGGAATGACGTAAGGATCGAAAGTCTTCCAGTATGGGTTGTTGAGGTGGTACTGCTGGGACTGCGGCGGACGTTAGTATGCTGCTGTTCCGGTAATCTTCAATGCAATCATCGATGTATGGAACTCACAGATTCCTTCAAATACCGCTCAACAATAGTAAACTTCCTCTTATCCACCGTATCCTGCATAACGAACCAACTCAGCGTCTCCTTATCCTTGCTGTACACCTGACTCGCTTCCACCAGCTTAGCACTGAGCTTGCTGATGCTCTCCTGGTCTTCCTTAGCGAGGAGGTGGACGACGATTGTGTAGACCATTTTGGGTGTTGCTGTCTTCTCTTTCGGGTGTAGTCTGCTGTTCAAGCTTTTCGGCTCGCTTGTAAAACGACGTCGCGTATGTAATGAGTATGCGTATGTATGTGTAGGAAAAGGGAGGAAGAAAGTAATCAAGACAATTGATGGAGTTTCAACCCACGAAGGAAATTTCTTGGTGATGCTGTTTTTGCGGCCTAGTGACGTATCACCGCGACGGAACCCCGCAGCTGAAAGTGGAGTTCGGCCGATCACAAGCAACACCAAGAAGCGGAAGGAGCCAGTAGCCGCAACATCGAAAAAGTAAAGGAAGGAGCGGAATCAATCACTTCGTAGGCGAGAGACGTAAAGCCAACAACAAGGCATACCCACGTGGGACGTGGGACGCGGGATGCAAGCACCACCACCAGTACACTAAGCACAGCAACCAAGATTTTTTTGAACTTGAAGATCAATTACACATCTAACCAACGAGAAAGAACAAGAACGGAAGTGCCTCCCAACACCCCGCCCCGTTCTCCCTCATCTATGTAGTAACTAAACTGATAAGCTAAAGAAGGGGGGAATTTGCGAAAAGACAACGCAGTCGCACCGTAGCAACGCTAAAGTTACACCATCATCACCATTCCCAATTCCACCCAGAAAATTGAAAAAAACACCACCCCATATGCTATGCCATGCCGTTAAAGCGAATGATAATCGAAAACATGGGTACTACTACTATGCCCTGCTGAGCATCTTGAGCACCTCCTCCTTCTCGCTCGTGGGCAGGGTGCTGAGCAAGCTCATGACACCCTTGAGGCCGCCCTCGCGGTCCTTGCGCATGAGCTGTGCGATTTCGAGCGCAATGCCGTCCGTCTTGAGTTGCTCGATCTTGTCGCTGACGAGGGGCCTGTTCTCCTCGTACCAGGTCGCTACGGCCATGTCGTCTTGCTCCCAGTTGGGGATGTTGGACAGGTGCTTCAACATCTCGAAGCCGCGGCTGCGGGTGAGCGGGTTGGCCATGGGGTTGTCGTGTGTGGGCGAGGCGGCAGCGGCGAACTTCTTGAGGATGTACTCCTCGTTGAGACGGCGGCGGAGGCGCCAGTAGAAGAAGCGGCGGGCGTTTTGCCATCGCAGGGCTTGTCGGATGACACCCTTGGCCTGCATGCGGCCGGAGCGGTCGTGCAGATCGGCGAACTGGAGCGCGATTTGACCGTAGACAGGTAGAAGCTTCTTCTCGCGCTCGGTCATCTGGGCCTTGATTTCACTGAGCTCGGACTCCGGCGTTGCCTTGTCGTTCAGCTTGCGCTTGAGAGCACCGTAGGTAGGGTCATTGCGGGCCATTGTGTCGAGTTGACGTTCCCGACGGTACTTGATACCGACGATACCTTCGGGTTCGAGCACACCACCACGCGAGTCCTCGTCGGCGTACATCTCCATGAACTGAGGGTTGATAGTGGGATCAACAACGACCCAGGATCCACCACGGAGCTCGCCGTACGGGGGAATGTAGACGAAGATGGGCTGTTCGAACTTGACGAGTGCATCGACAATGTAAGAACCGTACTTGAGGACCTCGTTGTACATGTCGCGCTGACCACCAGAGAAACCACGCCAGTTGGCAAGGATCATCAACGGTAGTTGCTCACCGTTGTTGAAGTCTTTGATAGCCTGAGCAGTCTTGAAGGCGGAGTTGGGGTACCAGACACCACCAGCCTCGGATGTGACCTGTTCGATGGAGTCGGGGTTGGCGGGATCAGCAGGTGTAACGTTCTCGACCGAGCGTGTCTCAACACCGATGACACCAATAGGAATGCCACCGAGGCGAGCACGACCGACGACAACCGTCTTAGCCCAACCACCAAGAGTCTCAACGAACGAACCGCGATCGAAGAGACCAGACTGGAAACCGTCTTCGTCCTCCTTTCCGGCGATGAGATGCCTGACATCGTAGGCTGACTTGCCAGGTGGGTAGTAGGTGATGTCGCGGTCCCAGTTGTCGGCAGATGGCGAGATCGGGACGGGGCTGCCCTTCTTGTCGGGTACGTATGACAGCCACTGGACGATCTTGGAGACACCCTCGAAGTCATCATCGGCAGTCGAGTGTGAGACACCGTTCCTGTACATGATCTGGGTACCACCAAGCTGGAGGTTAGAGGTGTAAACTTCACGACCAAGCAGCTTGTTGATGGCCTGTGCACCGGTGAGGATGATTGGCTGTCCTTCAATCTGGATGGCACGCTGACCAAGGCGGACGAGGTAAGCACCAATACCTATTTAGCGTTAGTAGACGAATTTGGACATCGTGAAGAAGATACATACCAACTGAGCGGCAAGTCACCAAAGTGATGGTGAAGATGTCCTCGTACGCCCTCGATGTCTCACCAGCGATGAGACCGGAACCACGGAGCGACTCAACACCAAGACCATCCTCAGCACCGATAACAGTAGTGATCTTGTAGCGGTTCTCGCCATCGACCTCAACCTTCTCGCAGATGACATCATTGCGCTTGCCATCAACAAAATGCTCGTACTTCTCAGGTGTCAGGTAGAGGTAATCGAAACCAGCCTCGGGCTTGTCGGCGTCCTTCCATGCGACAGAGAAGTGAGGAATGAGCTCCTCAGCAAGACCGATACGAGCACCAGAGTTGGCAGAAAGGTAGATTCGCGGGATGCCAAGCTTGCGTGCAAGCTCAGAGCACTTGTGGAAGAAGTTGTCTTCCGCTGGACCGAAGGAACCGATCTTGAAGGTGATGTCGTTGGCGATGATGATGAAGCGACGACCACGGGGGTACTCAGGTGTCTTTGCGGTGACCATCCATCCGACCATACCAATAGTGTTGTGGCCAGGGTCACGGTTGACCTCAGCCAGGTTGTCAGTGTCGTCAAGTACCAACTCGTAGTACTCGAGGCACTCTCCCTTCGCCGGCTGCCTGTCACGGAGGAACGAGTGCTTCTTGATAGCCTCGATCCAGCTGTTCTCGGTCGCCTGGCGGAAGAGCTCAGGGAAGTCGTACACGTACTGAGTACCCATGAGATGAGCCTTGTACCTCTTGGGCTGCAGCGCTCCCTTGGTGGGGTAAGGAGTCGAGACGGGCTGGAGGTGAAGAGCACCAATCTTGGTGGTTCCACCAATACTGTGGAAGAGCCACTTGCCAGCCTTCTCAGACTTGCGCTCAGCGTACATCTCAACCTGGATGACGTATCCGGAGGTATTGGTGATGATGACACGGAGAGGGTAAGGAATGCCAGTGGCGGGGTCGGTGACAATGATGCGAATCTCAGCGCCAGTGACACGGAGACGCCAGAGTCGTCGACCGAAGCGCTCCAAGAAACCGCCAATAGCCTCCTCAACCTCGGTGGGATTAAGAGGGAAGACGTGCGAGAAGTTGATGAAGATGTGGTTCATGTCAGCCTGCGAAGTACCAACAATCTCCAAAGCATCCAAAATGTCAGTCATCAACCTGTCGGTCTCAGACACCATGTACTCGGCAGTGGGGATCTCCTCGCGAAGACGGCCAGATCGGACGACAGCCCTTAAGAAGTAGCGCTTGTCGCTCTCAGCGCCCTTGCCAACAGCCTCGTAGATGTGGATGTTGCGGTTCTCAGTGAAGACAGGCTTGATGTCGAACTTGGAAAGTCTGCCAAGCTCAAGCTGGAAGGCAAGAGCAGGCTCGACGTGACGGATACTAGCGTCTTCCTCGTATGTGGGTCCGCGGAAAGTGTAGTAGCCGGGGTAGGTTCCGTCCTTGTGACCGCAGATGAATGAGATGCGGCGGATACGGCGGGACAGAAGCTCTTGCTTGAAGTCGTCGACAATGGGCAGGATGCGCTCGAGGATCTCCTTATCATCACTGCCTTCAATGTCGCGGACAGCAATGTTCAGAACACCAGTAAGCTCGTCAGTGTGCTTGGGCTCGTTTACTCCAGTAGTAGGAGTGCGCTTCAGGGTAAGACCCTCCCTCAGGCCGATGCCACCCTTCTTCTCCTTGCCGAGATTGGGGAAGATGTCGAGCGCCTTGCTGATGAGCTCGTCCGCGTCATCGAGGTACTCAACTGGAACGACGACACCCTTCCTGGTAGGCTCGCCCTCGAATCGGTTTTGCCAAGCAGTCATGTCGCTGAGTGACTGAATACGAGGAGGACGCTCAAATCCTGGTGTGCTGGGAGTACCGGGCTCAGAAGGCTCAACAGCGAGACCGTATTCAGCCTCGCCAACCTTGCGCAGGATGAAGTCCCAGGAAAGGAAGCATTGCTGCTCGCCCTCGTTGTGGTAGTTGATGTTCTGGAGTTGGTACGCGCGGTAAGCTCGGCGAGTGTATACCTCAAGCGCAGCAAGAGCGACATATGGGTCTGAGTGAACGAAGAATTGAGTCAGAACGTCGAACACAGTGTACCTGGAGTCAACAACCTCCTTGATGACTTCAAAGTTGGGCTCACGGTGGTCCCAACCGCTCTCGCCGTAACGGGACTCAACGACGGAAGAGCGCAAGATGTGCTCCATCTGCGAAGTACGCTCCTCAAGCGAAGGCATAGCGCACTGGATGAGCACCTCACGTGCCTTGAGGGAGACCTTGGCTGTCTGCCTCGACTCAAGCTCGGTGAGCTTCTTGAGGGTGTCCTTGAAGTACTTGGCAATGTTGCCGACACCGGGCTTGTTGGGTCGGTAGAAGTCCAGAATGGCAAGGACAAGGTTATTCTTCGCGCCAACCTTGGCGTGAGAGAGAACAGTCTGTACGACACTCATGATGTTGTCGCGGTTCTCGTCACGGAGCTTGAGGATGACTTCCTCATCACGCGACGTGCGAGACGAAAAAAGCGACTCAACAGACCAGTACATCTCCAAGAGCTTGATCATGACACTGTACTCGTGCGCCTTGAGGCCCTCAGAGTAGCGGGTAATGACATCGGAAAGAGGCTCCAATGCGGCCTTCAGAAGCGCAACATCACCCTTAGCCACGTTCTCCTCAACGAACTTCTGGAAAGCCTTGTTGAGGGCCTTGCCAGGGAACTCGAGGTTGCGG